ACTCCTCTAATGGTTCACAAACACCATAAGCAAGAGGATGAAGAGGAAAGAGGATGGAGGCTGCCAAAAACGTGTAGAAACCCTTACAAGAAGCTTAGCCATGTTTTTGAGCCTTAAGGGGTCTTTATATAGTTGGGCTATTAGGGTTATCTAACAAGGAAACCCTAATTTGGATGCTTAAGCCCTAAGCAACCCATAGACTCCTTTAATTAAGCCCATGAACGATTTCCTTATGGGTTTCCCATTAGAATTCGTCCATCCCTTAATATAAGGCAATCCATGGCCCAAATTATAATTATCTTATAATTACAATTCCAGTCCCTTAAGTTTAATTAATCTCTTTTAGTCACAAAACTAATTACCAATTAATTATTGACTAATATTAATTAAACAATATGATTTCTCCTTTAATATATTATTCCCATAATATATTAATAAATCATATTTAATCCTTACTCTCCATAAATCATCCTATCAAGTTGCTTTGGTGAAGGCAACCCAAAAGGACCATGCACCATCGGGTCAAGTACATACCAAAATAGTTATGGACTTAGACACTAATCCAACAGTATGTAGTAGTGTCTCTTCATATAGTATGTATTAGTGTCTCTTTGTATAGTATGTCATAGTGTTTCTTCATATAGTATGTATTAATGTCTCTTCATTTAGTGTGTATTAGTGTCTCTTCATTTAGTGTGTATTATTATCTCTTCATTTAGTGTGTATTAGAGTAGTGTATATATTAGTGTATTTTATGTATTGTTTATAGTATGCATTGACTCATGTATGAACTGACTCTTAGTGTGATTCCTTGTACTGGGAATAGTAAATAGTATCTCCTAACTATATCTATTATAATTACTAGTAATGTACGTGTATAACCGAAAGTATGCCTTTGCTACCTAAAGGTACTGAATTGACTGATATAAATTTTATGTCTATATATGTATACATAATATATAACTAATATTTAGACGACATTCGGACATATAACCACTACCCTAAGGCCACATCCAAACAAGGAAAAGGAATTAAAGCGAGCTAGCAGTCCTAATTCCTTTAAACATTACTTATATAACTATACATATACAGGCATGCATTTGACAATACAAAATTTTAAAAAAAAATTTAATCTTTGAAAAGTTTAATAAATAAGAATTGATGACTTGATGTCAGTTTATAAAACGGTTTAAAAGCAGTTTTTTTGATAAGAACAGTTTAAAGTATAAGAAATCCTTTGTTTGAAACACAGCTTGGAGTACATGAAAACCTTTGTTTGAAACATAGTTATAACAGAGTTTGAAAGGAAAGATATAGTATGTAAGACAGTTTGATAAAGAGTTTAACATGTAAAAACGTTTTGAGAAATCATTTTTGAAGTAGTATACTTAGTAACACAGTTAAAGGTATAGTGAAATCCATTTGTATGCTAGTTATTAATCACATGTGATTGATATAATAACTAGTATAATTCAACTTGTATCCCCCCTCCCCAATAAAAGCATTTAAAAACATTTAAAAGGTTAATTAAGGGATATGAACTCACCTGTAGTGAGTGGATTGTACAGAAGTGTTGGACAAGGTGCTAAGTGTCAAATGAAGACTTGAACACACACAATGATCCTATTTAACATATATATATTTATCTAATTAGTGATTAACACACCAATTAAGCAAGTATAAACACCCTAAAACATGGAAAACACTTTGGTTTAAGTGTTAGAAGGTCATAGGGTTACATCTAAGGGTTGTAAAGCATTGCTATGGAGTTTATGGCCCAAGAACCACTCTCAATGGAGAGTGTTGAGGAGTTTACGACCCAGGGGAGTTTACTCCTGGATGTAAAGTCTCTAAATGGTCATATTTAGGGTCTTAAAGGCGGGGAGTCTCAAGGGTTTAAGTGTTCCAAGGTTAAACAAGAGTCTATATGAGTTTAAGGTTCAAGACTTGACCTTAATTGGAGTTTACGGCCTAAGGAGCATTTCTCCATGAGTTTACGGTCGTAAACTCATGGTATTATGTACCAACTCAAAGTTTAAGGTCCCTAGTTCAATGGTGGAGGGTTCTAATCCAAGTTCTAAGTATTAGGAAGGAAATTAGGGCAACATTAGACATGGAGTTTACGGCCTTGGGAGATTCTTGGCCATAAACTCTCTTCCAACTTGGATTTCTTGATGTTTCTTAAGTCTAAACAAGTTCATTCTAGTATATAACAATCTAGGACAAGATTACTTACGATATAGGAGCTTGAAATGGCTAATTATAGCCAAGAGCACTAGTGTGTGTTCTTGGTGTTCTTGGTGAAACTTGAAGATCTATGAAAACATAATTTTCATGGATGAAATCATGAGAGAATGCTAGATTAAGAGGTGTATCAACAAGTCAAGGAAGAATACTTACTAGTTTTGAAGATCTAAGGTGAAGATCAGGATGATAAGTGAGAGAGAACTCGGGTTTTCTCTAGTTTGGAAAGTGAGAAATGGGGTAAAAATGACTAAGTGTCATATATATATATATATATATATATATATATATATATATATATATATATATATATATATATATATATATATATATATATATATATATATATATACTCCTTAGAGTTTACTGTCGTAAACTCCATGTTTGGGCCGCAAACTCCAAACTCTTGGAGTTTTGGGATTTCAATGTTGCACATTTAACCCTGGAATACACTTCCTATGATTACCTCTGAGGTATTAAAGCTCAGAATGGTCAAATGGACGCCAAAAGGGCTAAAAGTTAGCAGAAATGAATTTGATTTTCAATGAAGTGTTTGACTGTACAGGATAAAAAATTTCGGGTTGTCACAATTATGTTAGCTTGTTTATATGTTATTGTTGTATGTGAGTAGCGGGCGGGGCTCGAAGACAAGCGGGGCCTGGTAGGAACAAATCTGTATACCAAGCGGGGCTTGATGCCAGGCGGGGCCTGATATCGGAAATCTGATGTCGGGCTGGGCCCGATGTAGTAGTCTAGGCCCAGTGTTTGCAGTATGTGATTATGTATGGTATGTGGTAGGTTGGGGAACTCACTAAGCTTCGTGCTTGCGGTTTTCAGTTTTGGTTTCAGGTACTTCCGGTAGCGGAGGAAAGAGCTCGGGATGATCGCATTGCACACTCCAAGAAGTTTTAGCCTGGGAGGATTATACTCTGATAAAATATTATGTTTTGAGATATACTTCTGATTTGATATAACAACTTTTTTT